GGTTAAAGTGAGTTAACCCTCTATAATTTGCCAAACATAAAAAATATAGAAGGGTTAAGTTAACCCCTCTAGAGGGGTTAAAATGAGTTAACCCCTCAAAATGAGGGGTTTACTAATACTCCTATTTAGATGGAATAAGAGTTAACCCTTCTAATTATAAAGAAAATAGTCAAAATCATTGTTATTCCCAAACACTAAAACTGATCATAAGGGCTAAAATAAAACTTATTTAACGGGTTAATAATTTAGTCATTTGGATTATCAAATGGGCTAAGTACATTAATCATTCTCTTTAACCCCTCTTCATTAACCCTTTGCCAAACGGGGCAAGAACAAGATGCCAAATGCAATATAATTCCTTAATACAAGTTTCCCGATATGTCACAAATTTCATGTCCATATATGATCAATATATTATACATAAAAATATATCAATTATGTCAAATGACCAAGACTTTTTATATCACGTAACGAAAATTCGTTATGTTAATTGATGGAAAATATTAGAAGCGATTAACAATCTAATTAGTATTTAATTACATGACTAGTCATCCAAGTAATTAAAACGTACGTATGAACGTCCAATTACGAGATTAATATAGTAACAAATGAGCCAATTATCCCCATTAGTGTATATCATTATAATTGCTATTGATTATAAGTGAAGTGGTTAGTAGACTGATCATTGTACTAATTAGTAATATCTGCTACACGATATTGTATAGAAGGCACTCTGCACAGATTTTTGGCTTCATATCGGAAAACCCCATTAACTTCGGATGATTATCAAATAACCCCTATAACACTCTAAATATCAAAAAACATTCCTTTAAATTTATGGGTTATCAGAAAACTCTCTTTAATTTTAATATTTTGTTAGAAAATCCCTATAAAAGCTTTGAAACACAATTTTCACTGGGAAAATGTCCACCCGCATAGTTTTACTTATCTATGTGAAAATTGCGGTTTACGTTGTTAGCACTTTTCTGATAAAAGCTTAAAGCTAGAGATTTTCTGATACCGTAAACTTAAGGTAGGCTTTTGATATTTTTGAAAGCTATGAATGGTTATCCGATAGTCATCAGAAGTTAAGGTGATTTTGTGAAATTTAGCACAAATTTTGCCCACTAGCCATAACTGATCTCAAACAAGAAAAATAAATCCAACGGAGGGTATCGTGGACGTGGTTCACAATCGATTCTAAATCGATGTATTCATTGCATAATATTAGTGTTCAAAATGCTTTATCAATGTAAGACTACTCTATCAGTACAACGTTCAACCTTAACTCGATATCTAGGGTTTATTGAGAACAGACTCCTTGTAATATCACCCAATTGCAAAGAGATTTCTTATAGTTTCAATTGTTGTGAGTAGACTCTCTATAGTTTATATTGTTTTGAAAGAGACCTCCTGTAGTATTGACCCAAGTGCAAATACACACTCCTAGTGGACGTAAAAAAAAAAAAAAATTGATTGTTTATCCTCACCAATAGAACCATAGATAGGGGTCTGTCAACATTCTCAAACATTTTTAATGATTTTATAAGTAAAAAGCAATTCACCAAGAGGGTCTATTCTCTATGCGTAAAACTATGGAGATTCTATCCGCAACAAAGAGAATTACATGAGGTACCTTTGCAATTGATTAATACGACAAGGAGTCTATGTACACAATTATATATTTATACATATGCTAAAGTTATTGGGTTTATCACCGTAGAAAGTCTCATTCTTTAATTGCCCATCGACTTGTGTTTGATATGGAATGATAAAGTAAAGAATACGAAAACATATTCAAAACTCTTGTTTGTTTTATTTTCAAAAAATAAGAAAAACATCATCATAGAAAGCTTTTCTTGAGCGGAATTGCTTAGGTGGACCAAATGTCAAAAAATTTAGCCTATTTCCGAGCTAAAATAGAGGAATTGGGCTTTCCATAAAATTCATTGTTTTAGCTGTTGTTTAGAAAGCTATTTTTCAAAAAAAAAAAAAAGGGTAAACCAAACCGTAGTTTTGAAATCATGTAATGGCTCAAAAACCTACTTTTTGCTTCAAAACTGTAAGACTCTAAAATTTTAGGTCAACCAAACAGCCCCTTAGTTCCCCATGGACTATTCCTCAAGTATCAACTTGACTCTAATTAAATCCTTTGTTGGACCGTTTCAAGCCGCCTCCGGCCGAAAACATCCCAACCACAAGAGCGGACGCTGTACTGAAGAAGCTTGTTACGTAGAGTCACATCTCAAGAATTGAGTCAGCATCTCTTCCCGCTCCCCGGTCCCTATCCATCTCTCGACCCTACGCAGTACAAAGAGTTCCAGACCGACATAAATTAATATCAGATTAGCCCCCTACATGCCTCGGTTTAGCCCGGAATCTTTATGTGCGTATATCATTATGTCAACATTAGCTACCAAAAGTCAACGTAATCAGACCGGAAATTTTTTTTTCTTAAAGTACTTCTAACCATTGCACGAAGGAAGTGTTTGGGCGATGGATCTGTATGTTGGATTTATGACATTGTAAGAAATCCATAAAATCTTCAATTCTCAAAATTTTTAATTTCTTATTTGGTTTTAGGATAATTGAGTGGGCACTTTAGTTTTCCATTGAAATAAATAAATCAAAGACCAAAATTAATAAATCAATGATCGTTGAAAACAGTTAAGTATTTAAACAGCTTAATATTTAAAAAATAAAATTAATAATATCCTAAATAGTTAATTTTTTTTAAAATTAAATAACCAAAATTAATAAATCAACGACCTTTCAAAGTAATATCCTAAACAATTAAATATTGAAGGAAAACTTTAAGAAAGTAGCGGGTTGTTAGGTGCACGTTAGCGGGCGATTTTTCTCCCGCTACTGTGCGCCTCCGCTTAGATCTACGATGAAGAAGAAGAAGAATGGGAGTAAGGGTATTGCTAATACTGCACTGAGGGATTCCATCTTCGTCTACCCTTCCTCATCTCCTATGGCTGAGGGATCTGATGATGCTGTGGAAATCGATAGTGATGATCAGAGAAACAATGGAACAGTAAAAGGTGTGTCTACTTCCTTGAGCTCTGAGATGATGATGGATAGTACTGGTCCAAAGGGTGCTAGAAAGAAGATGCTAATGGATGAGGTTCTGGCTAAATCTTATCCATTATCTCATCCTCAATCTCCGCTATTGAAATCTGGTGTCCTGATCTCTCGCCAGCTTGGTAACTCTTCTAACTCTATCAATTGGGCAGATGATTTTGAGGAAGATATTGAATCTGGTTTTGTTGAGGATGTTATTCTAGAAGGAAAGAATAATGAAGATCTAAGCTCTCATGTCGATCATAATATTGATTCTGAAAATCGAAATGCTGATTCTGATCACATTTCCAAGGAAAATGAAAAGATACCAGCAAATTCTGGAAATTTGAAATCCTTTGTGAGTTTATTCACAGATAATAGGAAGCAAGGAAATGGCTTAAATCTAAATTTTATCCCACCTGCTCAGGCTAATTCTGTCTCATTTACTGCGGATGAGTGGAAAGAGGGTGAATCATACTGGAAGCATGCCTTAATTGGGCATGTTATTGGGCTTAATGTCAGGTATAAATCAATGGAAACTTATGTTAAGAAGCTGTGGGAGAAAATATCTATCCCTGAAGTGCATTTAATTAGACCTGGTATCTTCCTCTTTGATTTTCAATCTGAAAAGCATAAGGATGATATTCTGGAAGCTGGACCTTGGTTTTTTGGCTCAAGACCTTTAGTTCTTATGCCTTGGAAGATAGACATTGACATGGAGAAGTTACAAGACAATAGCTACCCTATGTGGGTTCAATTCCCCAACTTGAGGTTGAATTTATGGTCTGCTACTGGGATAAGTAAAATTGCTAGCCTTATAGGGAAACCAATCACTACTGATAAACTTACAGCATCAAGACAGAGGATTTCCTATGCTAGAGTGCTTCTTGAGATTAACCTCCCTTTAAAAACCCCCTTGCCTGATCAGCTCATAATTCAGGATCCTGATGGGAAATGTTATACTCAGAAAGTAGTATATGAGCTCAAGCCAAGATGGTGCGATTCTTGTAATATTATTGGCCATGTAACTGAACATTGTAGAAGGAAAGCTGGAAGGAAAGTTTGGGTTCCTGTTAATAAGACAGCCACTCAAGTCTCTGGTGCACATGCAAAACAAAATGGTGTGGTGACATCTGAAAAGGAAAAGGAAATCTCCAGAGAGCAAACTCAGACTCAGGAAGTGGTTGAGCATGTTTTCATAAGACAACCTGGAAATAAGGAGCAAACACCTAAAAAACATGCACAAACAGTAAAAGTCAATGGTGAAAATGCTGGCCTAACTTATGTTCTACAATCTCCCACAGTGAATGCCACAGGTTTTACCAGTATCAGCAGAGGAAATTATGCCAGCAGAGTTAACTCTAAAGCAAAAGCAAATGCTGAAGGTGTATCATATTCTCAGGTATCACTTTTCTCCCCCCTGGATCAACAGATGCAAGAATTAGACCCCTCTAGTGTTGATAGAGGTGGTACTATATCTGGATGCACCTAGCTATTTGGAATGTTAGAGGATTTAATAAATCCTCTAAACATATGATGGTGAAGCAATTCATACATCAATATAATCTTCCTTTTATAGCTCTTTTAGAAACAAAAGTTGTTAGTGATAAATTGCAATCTATTGCTAAAAAAGTGGTTAAAGACTGGACTTGGATCTCTAATTGTCATCAAGCAAATAATGCTAGGATTTGGATTCTCTGGAATAGTGAGATTTTATCTGTTCAGCTCATAAATTCCTCAAATCAATTCATGACATGTGCAATAGCTTCAAAAGACAGCAAACTATCAGGTATAATCACTGTGGTATATGCTCTTAATGATATATCTGGAAGGAAATCCCTCTGGCATGATATCTTGGCTTTCAAACAATCTGTCACCAGTCCCTGGGTTATTGGAGGAGATTTTAACTCTATCATCAATAATGGAGAGAAAATTGGTGGTGCTATGGTAACTGAGTCAGAAACTGAAGATTTCCAGGATTTCATATCCTCGTGTCAGTTTGTGCATCTCAAAACCACAGGATGCTTTTATACTTGGTGTAATAAGCAAGATAAAGACACAAGAATCTGGAGTAGACTCGATAGAGTTCTTATCAATGAAGAATGGGTGCAACAATATACTTCAAGCCAAGTGGAATTCCTACCTCCATCTTGTTCAGACCACTCTCCAGCCCTTATTACCATTGTTGATGATACTTTTGAGGGTAAGAGGCCATTCAAATTTTTTAAAATGTGGACTAACCACCCTGATTTCCTCTCAGCAGTAAAATCAGTCTGGGACCAAGATGTTGTGGGTTACAGAATGTTCAAATTTCATACTAAACTAAAGAAGCTCAAGGTTGTCTTAAAGGAGCTGAATAAAAAGCATTTTATGAACATTAGTGAACAAGTGTTGAGGGCTAAGGATCAACTTGCAGAGGCTCAAAAGCAACTAAACTCTGATTTGTTCAGTCCTGTGCTGATTGCTAAAGAAAGGGAATGTTTAAGCAAATATGTCAGGCTTCTTAACTGTGAAACATCTTTCTATAGGCAAAAAGCCAATATCAAATGGGGGATCTATGGTGACAAATGCACTCATTATTTTCATGCCATTATGAAAGCAAAA